TTTTCCAGGGAGTCTTCTCTTCTCATGAGGTGGCCAAAGTATTGGAGCCTCAGCGTCACAATCTGTCCTTCCAGTGAGCACTCAGGGCTGATTTCCTTAAGAATAGATGCGTTTGATCTTCTTGCAGTCCATGGGACTCTCAAGAGTCTCCTCCAGCACCATAATTCAAAAGCATCAATTCTTTGGTGATCAGCCTTATTTATGGTCCTGCTCTCACTTCCATACATCACTACCGGGAAAACCATGGCTTTAGCTATACGGACCTTTGTTGGCAAGGTGATGTCTCTGCTTTTTAAGATGCTGTCTAGGTTAGCCATCGCCTTTCTCCCAAGGAGCAGGCGTCTTTTAATTTCGTGACTGCTGTCACCAACTAGTCCATTGATTTTAATGGGTCTATTCTGGGTATTCTGAGTTATGAGTATGAGTTCTCCATAAGTATGTAGTATTTTGTTACAGAAAGCCCAGATATATCTGGCCTCTGGTCATGTAACCTTCAGAACAAAGGTTTGCACAAGAAAATAAGTAGAGGCCTGCTTGATTCGGCTGGTGGCCAATCTAGACCAGCCTCCTGTTCCCATAGTGGCCACCTAGATGCCTATTGGAAGCTAGCAAAGTAGTGCAACAGCCATCTCTAATTCCCACCAACTGGTTTTCAGCGGTCTGCTGCTTCTGACAGTGGAGGTAATGCCTAGCCATCGTGGCTAGTAGCTGCTGATAGCCTTCTCTTCCTTGAATTGAGTTGCTGCCATTGAACAGCAATGGAAATGGAAAAACCTTTGGACAAAGAGATGGATACAGGCCACCATCTTGGATCTAGAATAATGTTTTCCTGATAAAGTTGGCTTGGAATGCTTTTGGAATCAAAAGAACTTGCCACGTTGCCTAAACCTGTGTCTGTTAATTAACTGAATGGATGCGTCGCACTAGGTAATCACAGTGAGTAATGGGTGGTATTAATGTAATCCGAGCAGTGAATCATAGCCTAGTACTGTGGAGGATTGCTGAGCCCTGATTTTTTTCCCCCTGAAGTGAAATTGGCTTTAACAAGGTGCATGCAGATTTCTCTGTTGCTACAAATCTAGTGCACAACCCCTTTTAATTTTCTATGATTCTATAAGGGAGCTTTCTATGATTCTATAAGGGAGCTGGGCATGTTTAGCCTGGAGAAGAGGAGGTTAAGGGGTGATATGATAGCCATGTTCAAATATATAAAAGGATGTCACATAGAGGAGGGAGAAAGGTTGTTTTCTGCTGCTGCAGAGGAGCGGACACGGAGCAATGGATCCAAACTACAAGAAAGAAGATTCCACCTAAACATTAGGAAGAACTTCCTGACAGTAAGAGCTGTTCGACAGTGGAATTTGCTGCCAAGGAGTGTGGTGGAGTCTCCTTCTTTGGAGGTCTTTAAGCAGAGGCTTGACAACCATATGTCAGGAGTGCTCTGATGGTGTTTCCTGCTTGGCAGGGGGTTGGACTCGATGGCCCTTGTGGTCTCTTCCAACTCTATGATTCTATGATTCTATGATTCTATGAATTCCATTTTGATTAAATAAGAAACAGGAGGCTTAATGCTCTTTGACCAGTCTACTGTCAATTTTGGTTCTGTTTGTACCTGCCCTTCCCCTAAAGTAGGGACGGAGAACATTTGGTTCTTGAGATGTTGGGCTACAACTCCCCCTGACCACTGGGCATGCTGGCTAGGGGTAACTGGGGTTGGAGTCCAACGGTATCTGAAGAACTACGTATTCCTCATCCTGGTTATACATAAGTCTTAGCCTAATGGAGTTTGTGACATCTGAACTGAGCCATTCTGCTGGAACCTCATATTCTCCCTACTTCTCTCCTGTACGTGGATTCCCTCATTTCCATGATTTGCAATATCTGTAGTTTGCTGCAGAATTCAAATGCACAAACTATAGTACACACAAACCAGAAAGGCGCAGTCTGACAGCAAACCGGCTTCAAACCATGGTTTTGAATCTCCCTTCACCCAAAACCTAAATCTCCTGCAACATCTTAGAATCATAGAATCATAGAAGCATAGAGTTGGAATAGACCACAAGGGCCATCGAGTCCAACCCCCTGCCAATCTTAAATCGCTTGATTGCCTATCAATCTCCTGCTTAATTTCTTCCCTCCCGCTCTGCTCAGGGCTGGCCCGCCCGCCCATGAAAAGTGGTGAGGCAGTTGCTGCATGGTGGCAGGCTCTTAGGGGTGCCACTGTGTGCCACTGGACATTTGCTGCCAGGCACCCACCACCTGGCCCTTGCCACTGCTGGGCGCTGGCTGTTGCTGGGTGTTTGCTGCTGCCTCTTGCTCAGCTGCAGCAGTGAGAGAGCCCCCTGCCTCCACAATCATGCCCTGCAGCTGCCGTGGCTCACCTGCCGCTGTGTCTCATCTGCCGCCACCTGGAGGCAAGCTGCAATGGGTGCCACAGGGTGAGTAGCCACAGGGGTTTACAGCAGTGGGGTGTGTGGCCACGGTGGGACAGAAGAAGAAGAAGAAGAAGAAGAAGAGTTTGGATTTGATTTCCCGCTTTATCACTACCCTAAGGAGTTTCAAAGCGGCTAACATTCTCCTTTCCCTTTCTACCCCACAACAAACACTCTGTGAGGTGAGTGAGGCTGAGAGACTTCAGAGAAGTGTGACTAGCCCAAGGTCACCCAGCAGCTGCATGTGGAGGAATGGGGAAGCGAACCCGGTTCACCAGATTACGAGTCCACCGCTCTTAACCACTATACTTTTTGAGAATACTAAGGAAAAACCATCTTCCGCAGAAACTGCTGCTTGCCTTCTATCACTGTGCCATTGAGAGCGTGCTCACTTATGGCTTATGTGTGTGGTACAGAAGCTGTACTACCCAGGACAGGATGGGGTTGTGCACGGTTGTTAAGGCAGCAGAGAGCATTGTTGGCTGCCCACTCTCCACCTTAGAGCAGATTTATGCCACAAGGTGCCATAGGAAGGCACTGGACATAGTAAAAGATCCATCGCATCCTGGTCACTGTCTCTTCGAGCTCTTGCCGTCGGGACGGAGATACAGGACGATGAAGACAAGAACGAGCCGTCTTAAGAACAGCTTCTTCTCCAGAGCGATCTCGGCCCTGAATGGGAAGCCCGGACTTTGAAAGTCATCTAATCTCCATTGCTGTATTATACTGTATTGATTAATTAGTGTTTTTATGGAGCAGTCAATTAATTTCGTTGTCCCCGAAGGGGGCAATGACAATAAAGATATTATTACTATTATTACTATACCACACTGGCTCCATACACCACACTGTGCCAGCCCTGCCTGTGCTCCTAGCCTACTTTTATTGGAATATGTGTAGATGACAAAATGGTCAATGCTTTTTCTTTCTTTCCTACAGGTATCCACTCATTTTGCCGAATGTGAAACTTTCTGGCTTTTGCCTTAACCAGGAAAGTTGTTTCAGTCCTGTCTTGTATGCAGTACCGCAATGCTTGTAAATGCAAACTGCCGCGACAGGAAATGCTTCTGGAACTGACAAGTACCCTAAGAGAAGGCTTCAGATCACTTCTGGTAAGTAGCAAAATCAGACAAGTTCAAATATCCCCCTTTCCCCCCAGGCACCCGTCTGTAAGGATGGCTAGGAGAGGGAAATGAAGTCAACTTCCCTCTGGTGTCCCAGAACAAGAAGAGGCATGAAGAGGGCAGGAGAGAGATTAGCAGTGTGCAGACGTAGTCTCTGATATCTTGGGAAAACCCCTGGAGAGGAGGCAGATGTAGGAAAGTGGGGACCTTCAGTCAACAACTGCTTCATGGGGCAAGGCCTACCAGAAATGAGTTGCTGTGCTTATTGTGCTGTGCACAATTAGTTTTTGCTAACAAGGAGTTAATTCCAACTTTCACAGTGTGATTTACTGACTGGCTTGCTCTGTGACACACAGGTTCCCCATCCTTGGGATCCATGATCATCATCATCATTATGACCGCAGAAAAGATCACAACATTATATAATCAGAATAAAAACAACAACCCAACAACATACCCCTCGAAAAGAGCCACATTTTAAAAGGGTATAGCATGTCAATCAGGTTAACCAAAGGCCTGGTTAAAAAGGAACCTTTTTGCCTGGCGCCTAAAGGTGTATAATGAAGGCACCAGGCGAACTTCCCTGGGGAGAGCATTCCACAGATGGGGAGCCACTGCAGAGAAGGCCTGTTAAAATGTGAGAAATGGGACTCACAGTACTCTCCTGATCTACATCCCTAAACTGGTTTGGGCATTCACGACTCAAAGCTCAAGATAAATTCACTTTCCTAGGCATATCATAATGGGTATCCTGTGAAGAGAGTGCTTGAAGACTGTAGCCAGAATAGCACCCTCTGGATATTATAAGACAATTCTCATCATCTCATTGAAAGAGGTGGGTTTGCTTACTGTGGAGAAGGGACGTTTAAAAGAGAAACTTCAAATTCCACATACTAATATTTCTATAGAAGAAACATCAGCATGCTGAAGGGTTTTGTACCTTGGCTGTCCTTTGAAAGATGGGCCCTGGGAGGGAGGGAGGGAGGGAGGGAGGGAGGGGAGGAAGACAATGCAAGATATCACCCTCTCCGGAGGACATGCTTAATGCTCCCATGGCGAGTTATCAAGTGACTCTTGTGTCACTAGCCTAAAAAGAACGCCCTTTTCCAAGGCATGACATCTTATTAGTTTTCCTTTTCCTAAAGTGTAAGCAGAATCCACAGTCACTTCCCTTCACTGTTACAGAACAGTGGGTGGAGTCATAAAGATGCCCAGAAGGGCTGGCTGAAGCATTTAAATTATTCCCAATCTTTTAAAAATTCCCTAAGACTGTCAGGGAGCATTATCAGCACAGAATACAGATGCTGATGAGAAAGTCTACTTACATCTCCATCCACTTTCTCTCTCACTCCCTGACTGATCAAACCAAAGGAGATGGCTATGCCTCTAGAGCCCTAGTGACCAAGGAGCCAGCAGAGGGAGGTGTCACAATGAAGGGCGTGTCACAAGGAATTCCGCAACCTAGCAACCACCAGCACTCAACTGACACTACTCTCAACTGACACTACTAAGTTTCCTTATATGGCTTTTAATCCATGTTCAGCTTTTTACAAGTATGTAAAATGAAATTTCCCCCTTTATATTCAAGCTTCTGTTGTTCCTGCACCTATTGAGCATTAGCTATCTAATCTACCTCTCTGCCTCTGTTTAAAAGGCCTGGTTAAAAAGGAACCTTTTTGCCTGGCGCCTAAAGGTGTATAATGAAGGCGCCAGGCAAACTTCCCTGGGGAGAGCATTTCACAGATGGGGAGCCCGTTCTTGTGTTGCCACCCTCCAAACCTCTTGAGGAGAAGGCACACAAAGGAGGGCCTCAGAAGATGATCTCGGTGTCCGGGTAGGTTCATGATGCCTTGAACAATTATTTCACCTTAGAAAGTACAGTGGTACCTCAGGTTACAGATGCTTCAGTTACAGACTCCACTAACCCAGAAATATTACCTCGGGTTAAGAACTTTACCTCAGGATGAGAACAGAAATTGCACGCCAGCGGCGCAGCGGCAGCAGGAGGCCCCATTAGCTAAAGTGGTACCTCAGGTTAAGAACAGTTTCAGGTTAAAAAACGGAGCTCCAGAACGAATTAAGTTCTTAACCAGAGGTACCACTGTATATGAATCAAACACAAAATTTTCTCATTGCAGATTAATGGGAAGTGTGTGATGGAGGGGTGGGGCACCCACCCACTCTTTCCCCGTAGGAGGTGGTCTTGGTAACCTGGTAATTGCAAGGACATGGCCATGCATGTATAAACGGGGAAATGTATTACAGACTTAAAAATTGTTTTCTTATGAGATTCATTATAGTTAAGCCTACCAGAGATACGCTTTAATTCTTGGAAGGATGAACATTAATTTAAATATGGTTCAGCTACAGGACAAGACAAGCTTAATGAATTAACCATCTTTTCTCCACAGCAGGGTGTTAGGGGGAGGCGGGGGGAGGTAGTGCTAACCATACTTTATTTTAATCAAGCTTTATAACTCTGACTTAATAAACCTTGTAAGTAATTTAATTTTGCCTCACTGAATTGTTTAGTGCTGCATGTGAGATTTTTATTTCTTCCCCGTTTCCTTTAATATAACTACTCGCAGTAAGCAGAGATGAGAAGTGTTTGCAATGAGAACAAGATGAGATTGAATTACCTAAGTGTACCTTGTGTTGCTTTTTAGGTGCGATGTAATATTATGTGCCTTGCCGGCCGGCCACAACACTTACAGCATTCAAAATGGTGTACGGCGAATTCTTCCACAGGCCGGGGCAAGATGAGGAGCTTGTCAACTTGAATGTGGGTGGCTTTAAGCAGTCCATTGGCCAAAGCACATTGCTCAGATTTCCCCATACGAGACTCGGGAAGCTGCTCAAATGCCATTCAGAAGAAGCTATTCTGGAACTGTGCGATGACTACAGCGTTGCAGAGAAGGAGTACTACTTTGACCGGAACCCTTCCTTGTTCCGCTATGTGCTGAATTTTTATTACACAGGGAAACTCCACGTCATGGAAGAGCTCTGCGTCTTCTCTTTCTGCCAGGAAATAGAGTACTGGGGAATCAACGAGCTCTTCCTTGACTCTTGCTGCAGCAACAGGTACCAAGAAAGGAAAGAAGAGGGACTTGATAAGGAGTGGGACCAGAAAAGCAATGCCGGAAGCCTGGATTCTTCTGACGATGAGTCGTCCATCTTTGAGAAGGAGCTCGAGAAGTTTGATAAGCAATGGTTGGGGGAGTTGCGCAAAAACATATGGGTCAGAATGGAGAACCCTGCCTCTTGCTTGTCCGCCAAGTTGATTGCTGTTTCCTCCTTGAGCGTGGTCCTAGCATCCATTGTCACCATGTGCATCCATAGCATGCCAGAATTTCAGAAGCTGGATGCCAACGAAAGGGAGATAGAAGACCCTATCCTGGAAATAGTGGAGATCATATGCATCATCTGGTTCACCTCTGAGCTTATGATCAGGTTGGCTGCTGCTCCCAGTCAGAAAAAGTTCTGGAAGAACCCGCTGAACATTATAGACTTTGTCTCCATCATTCCGTTCTACGCCACTTTGGCCGTGGACACCAAAGAGGAGGAAAGCGAAGACATCGAGAACATGGGGAAAGTGGTCCAGATCCTGCGTTTGATGAGGATCTTCCGTATCCTGAAGCTGGCTAGGCACTCTGTTGGGCTGCGGTCATTGGGTGCCACTTTGAGGCACAGCTACCACGAAGTTGGACTTCTGCTTTTGTTCCTGGCCGTTGGGATTTCCATTTTCTCCGTCCTGGTCTACTCTGTGGAAAAAGATGATGACACATCAGAGTTGCAGAGCATCCCAATCTGCTGGTGGTGGGCCACCATTAGCATGACCACCGTTGGCTATGGAGACACCTACCCGGTTACTCTTGGAGGGAAGATCATTGGCACAACGTGCATCATCTGTGGAATATTAGTGGTAGCTCTTCCCATCACGATCATTTTCAACAAGTTTTCCAAATACTACCAGAAGCAGAAGGATATTGACGTGGACCAGTGCAACAACGACCCCAAGGAGAAGGCAAACGAGCTCCCTTATTTTAATATTAGGGATATTTATGCAAAAAGGATGCACTCCTTTATTTCTAGCCTTTCTTCAGTAGGATTTGTAGCCAACGATCAAGATTCAACCGACGCCTCAAGCATCCAAGATCTTGACGATGTTTATAACACAACATCTTTGCAGAATGGTACAGGAAAATGAGTTGAATCTCTTTTCTTTACTGTTTCCTTCTAATATTAGCACAGCTTTGACAAAGAGCACTTAAATTCTCAGGGTATCTTAACTCTCTGCCATATTAGGGCATTCTTGGCTCTGATGATGTTGCACATTCTTTACAGTTTAGATGGGGCTTAAGGATAGATAGACTGTGTGTGGTGGATTAGTTTTTTGTTTCTTTCACATGGCTTCAGAAAATGGTATTGAGTGTGCTTGGTCCGGCAACCAAGTCTGATAACCTTTTAAAGAATGTGTGGTTTGAATGGATTGTGCGTTGGGAAATAGTGGGTTACTAGCACACGGGAAATGTGCTGGGACAAATGTAATTTTTTATTTGGGTGATTATACCTGAGAATGAACAGAAGTGCATACGAAACCATATTTGCTAAGAAACCAAATAGTCCTGAACTAAGCCGGGGGCCTGTTAGCATCTGAGGTTAAAATTCAATATTATACAGGGCTAGGGAAAGGCTTTGCTCCTCAACCATAGTTCACCCAGGCCTTCTTTGGTGTTATGGGTGGGTGCAATTCACTTGTGCTTCCTGTAGCTTTCATACAGCCCTCAGCCTAATTCCATGCCAGTGGAGGAAGCCTGGTGGGAGGAAGGAAGTGGAATAGAAAATAATGGAGTGACAGAGAAGAAATTGAAAGCCTCTTGCAAGCAATTTACAGTACAGTGGTACCTCTGGTTGCGAACAGGATCTGTTCCAGAGGCCTGTTCGCAACATGAAAAGAGCGCAACCTGAAGTGCCGTATGTGCACGGCACAATTTGGCGCTTGTGCGCATGTGCGAAGCATGATTTAGCGCTTGTGTGCATGCGCGAGCTGCGAAACCCGGAAGTAACCTTTTCTGGTACTTCCGGGTCGCCGCAGGACATAACCTGAAAGAACGTAACATGAAGCAAACGTAACATGAGGTATGACTGTAGTGTAAACATCTGGCGAGTGTGATCTCCAGCAGCCTGCTGGGCTGGGAGAAAGAGGAAAGGGATGAAGGGGAACAGGGAGCGTGATTGGTCCTGGCTGGTTTTGGGTGTAACCCCATCCAAGCCCAGTTCAACCATGCCCACCCCTGGCTTTCCCTACCTGCCAGATTCAGGGAGAGAAAAAAGCTTCCCAACTCCCGCCTTTCGATGTGCAAAATGTCGGGACTTTATTTTCTTTTGTAGGCACAGACACCTGTTTCAGATGCATGTCTTGCTTAGCTGCTTGATCTCAGGAAAGATGTGTGCATTGCCACTTGATGTGCCAGCCATTCACCCTTCATTTCTCACTGCCGGGTTGGGCGACCTTTTTTTTACCTACTTACTTGTTTACACACACAAACATGCACACAGGCAAGCAAGAAGCATTACTCAAGGGCACCTTCCAATTGGCAGAAGCACTTGAGGAAGGTGTTGTACAAGCCTGGTGTGGGATGGCGTCCAGTGAGAAGACTGTGGTTCACTAAGAGGAGCTGGGGGGGGGAAGGGTTCCTCCATCTTTGATTTAGTGTCTGAACCTACCCTTAAGCCATAGATCGACATGGTGGATGGCAGGGTCAGGCAATGAGTCAGCCATATTATTCCTTCCAACTCACTCGGTTCAGTTCGCTTTTTAAATGGACGCATAACAGAGCTGGAAGGAACCCAGAAGCCATATCATATATTTCCTTGGCCCTAGCATAAAATTAAGCTGCCAACTTCCACAAGTCCGAATAATAGCATTCCCCCGGTCAGAGAGAATGTACACCCCATAATAGTGTTGGCCAAGCAGTTGACTTGAAGCAATTTGTACAAATTTGGCAGTATACTTCTGTCTTAATTTCTGGATCCTGGGACTTCTTAAGTGAATCCATCCTCGCACATAGAAACACATTTCCATTTATTTTTCTCTTTCCAATTAATTTCTAGTTTGGGGGAGGCAGAGTGCTCCCGCAACTTGCAGTGCGACGGACTATGTCAAGCTGACCACGAAACCAGTCTAAATGTCAAGTCTTGCCCCTGTTTATGGGCTCAGGATTTTATATCCTCTGTGTACTTCCTTTGTTTTGGTGATGGTGACAGCAGGACGCATGACAAAGCAGTGAAGCATTTGCTTGGTTCTCCGCTGATTGCAGTAGGAGGAATTCATCAAGGCTGACTATAAATGGAATAGGGGTGCTATCATCTTTGTACGTGAGATTGCAAGTCGAAATTCTGATAGCCACCCGGCCACTAAAGCCCACAGAGATCCTTGTAATCACCTGGAGGAGGCTAAATTATCTCATATGAAATCACACATTGTATACACACAGCAGGAGCTTCCCAGAGCTGCAGAACCTACTACTGCAAGGGAGATTTGCTGGTGCACTCCATTTTTGGTCTTCACAGCAGAATGGCCGAGCCCCCATACCTCCATTTAAGGCAGCCAAATTGCTCAGCCGACACTAAAAAGCTTAACTTAAGCAGCCTTCTCTTGTCAATCATTCTCACAAACCAGCCTGGCGGTGTTTAAAACAGAGAGACCAATGATTCAGATACTGTTAAGAGTGGTGATGAGGAAAACTCTGTAATATCAGCTGAGAGGAGAAGCTGAAGCCTCTTTTTATGCTTTCTGAGTATTTTTTATTATTCTGACGCTCTTCTGCTGTTGAGGGGTACCTGCCAAAAATGTTCTGAAGTCTTGTGAATCTACTTTGTTTTTTGTTAGAGCTCTGAGATCCACCAAGCAGAATCAGGTGGAAAAGACGTACAATTCAAGGATTAAATAACACCGAATCCAGGAATTTGTGTTGAGTACCTGAACTGAACTTTCTGCATTTCCACACAGAATCCATGATTCCGTGTACTCAAGCTTTCTTCATTGCAGCAGTGTAATAGTATTGGGGGGGGGGGATATGTGCCATTTTATTATTCCCACTGTCAAATGACTGGAAGTCAAAAGTCTTTCCTGATCTGCTTTGGGTTACCCAGAGGTGTACTTGTAGCTGCAGATTGGCTGTCTGCCAACCCCTTCTTTAAAAGTCATAGGAACTAGGAGAAGCAAAACATGGGGCTTTCTGACTTAGATATATAGGGGCTAGTAGACAGCTTTCAGTGAAAAGACTGGTTTGGGGACAGGGATTTGCTGGAATTCTGGAGGATGGGGTGGTAGGTTTGCAGCTTAATAGCTTCTGGTTTAATACAGAGGTAGTAGCTACCAGTGGGGTCGCAGGTGGTGCTGTGGGACGCGGGTGGCGCTGTGGAACGCGGGTGGCGCTGTGGTCTAAACCACAGAGCCTAGGGCTTGCCGATCAGAAAGTCGGTGGTTCGAATCCCCGTGACGGGGTGAGCTCCCGTTGTTCGGTCCCAGCTCCTGCCCACATAGCAGTTCGAAAGCACATTAAAGTGCAAGTAGATAAATAGGTACCACTCCAGCGGGAAGGTAAATGGTGTTTCCGTGCGCTGCTCTGGTTTGCCAGAAGCGGCTTAGTCATGCTGACCACATGACCCGGAAGCTGTCTGCGGACAAATGCCGGCTCCCTCGGCCACTAAAGCCACTAAAGTGGCTTAGTCATGCTGGCCATATGACCCAGAAGCTGTACACCGGCTCCCTCAGCCAATAAAGCGAGATGAGCGCTGCAACCCCAGAGTCGTCCGCGACGGGACCTAATGGTCAGTGGTACCTTTACCTTCACCTTTAGCTACCAGTGGGCTAGACACTTCTAGCTGAATTTGTATAAGCAACTCAAGTTTTCCCCAGTGGCTAAGAAGGGGTCTTTGAGGGAGAAGCACAGGCATAAACAGTGGACATTAAATTGATAGCACTGACTAGGGCTGGGGGATATCTGGTTTTCAATATAATGATATATCAGCAGCTAAACATCGCGATATACCGATATGCCACGATGTCTGAAATAAGGATGGTGCTATGCAGAGGCATTGACTGGCCTCACAGTTTTTCCTGCATCGTGATTTTTGCTGGCGGTGCTCTTGTGATTTGCTGCACCCCCCCCCCCCAGAGGCAGAGGAGAACTGAGCTGGTGGAGTTAGCAGGGGCTGCAGGAATTGAGAGAAGCATTGGCTGGCTTCACGGTTTTCCCTACGTTGTGATTTTTGCATAACACACACACACACACACACACACACACACACACACACATCATGATTCAAGTCAAAAATGGACTTCAAACTGGTTTTGGATCATATTTCGCCCAGCCTTAACACACATCGTGATTTGTGATATATTGCCAGGTCAAAAGTTATGAAGCCGATATCGCAATATGGACTTCAAACCGGGTTTGGATGATATGTTGATCTATCGCCCAGCCCTGGCTAGCTGGTGGTGGGGTGGGCAAGGCAGACATGTGCGGCTTTCTTTTCTGTTTCATGTGCCAGCACAGATATTATCTTGGCTGAAGCATTGGGTTTGCTGCATGCAACAGTTTTCTTGGAATACAAGGCTGTTGTGCAGAGACGCACCCTGGAAGCCATGATTGGCTAGAAGCATCGTTAGTTACCAGGTTCTTCTTGCTTCAGCTGATACATGCAGTCATGAGTATAGCAAGTCCCTTCTAAACCACTCCTTTTAAACAGTTTTTGTGAGTTTTGAAGGACAATGTCAGTGCAGTAAGTTCAGCTTCCACAAGTGCAGCCAGCTTACAGCATGCTGACTCATCCTGCCTGTGCCTGAGTCCCTTATTCTTTGTGAAATGACCAAGATCTGCTAAAAGTCTGGATAAAGTTCTTTTAATGCTCTCAGATTAATCAATAGCTCTTATAAACCCATTACAACTTTTCAGTGCGCTGAGCACCTCTCTGTCTCTGTCTTTTATTATTACTTTTTAAAGCCCCAAAGAACCACATCCTGCAATTTGTGTGGCACACTGATAAGCGCTCAGAAATATTGCTGTGACTGATGCTACAGAATGTACGCTTCCTACTATTTCCAAATCTTTCAGTCTCGATGCCGTGCAAATCCTTTATAAAAAGTTGCCTGTTTTCTGTAGTGCTGTTTTCATTTCCTAAGATCTTCTCTGCTTGTGTGCTTTTGTCTGCAGAAAGACACAGAGGACGGGAAAGTCTATGGGAAGCCAAGGCTTCAGAGTAGCCCTAGTCCAAACAACAAACCCATCTCAGTGGCTTTTATTGTTAACTTGAGAAATCCCTGTGCCACTTCACAGGAGAGATGAGTGTTTTGGGAGAGCTGGGCACCTAGCCTTTCTCCTTTCCACTACTGTGCTTCACTTTAGACCCTTACTATTTCCATATTGGGATGCGGGTGGCGCTGTGGGTTAAACCACAGAGCCTAGGACTTGCCGATCAGAAGGCCAGCGGTTCGAATCCTCGCGACGAGATGAGCTCCCGTTGCTCGGTCCCTACTCCTGCCAACCTAGCAGTTCGAAAGCACATCAAAGTGCAAGTAGATAAATAGGTACCGCTCTGGCGGGAAGGTAACTGGCGTTTCTGTGTGCTGCTCTGGTTCGCCAGAAGGGGCTTAGTTATGCTGGCCACATGACCCGGAAGCTGTACGCCGGCTCCCTCGGCCAGTAAAGCGAGATGAGCGCCGCAACCCCAGAGTCGGCCACAACTGGACCTAGTGGTCAGGGGTCCCTTTACCTTACTATTTCCATATTGGCAAGACTGGCCCTACTGTTAGCCAGAGTGAGGCAACTGCCTCAGGCTGCTGGTTTCGGGTATCATGAAAGGCCGAGAAAGACCAACATGGTTCCTTGATCTTGTTGGTGGGTGAAAACTCCCATCAGCCCCAGCCAACATGGCTGAAGGTCAGGAATGATGGGGGTTGTAGTTTCTGCAAGACATCACATTGTCTACCCCGGAACAGAATAAGAGAGAGCAGCCGACCAAATGAGTTTTGTAGTTGAGCAGGGATTTAAGCCCAGTCCTATTCGGACGCTCTACTCCAGAATTGGAGAACCTCAGGCCCATGGGACTAATCAGACTTCCCCATTTACTCTCAAGGTTGAGGCCGTTTTGGCCAAGCTTTGCCCACCCAATCTTCACCTGGTGTCAAACTGGTTCTTTATTGTCCCAGTCTACCTAAAGGAAGCTGGCTTGCTTTTGAATATGAAATTGCTAAGTTTTTCAAAATGTTCAAGTTTTCCCTGATGCTGTGGATTGGGACTGCCATTTTGGATGTAATAACTGGCTGTGAGCCTGAAAGACTGCAAGCATATGTAATGTTGGATTGTATCCAAGAAAGAGTGATATGTTTTTCTTGCTTTAACCAATCATGAAGCAATAGCTGCAGGAGTTCATATAACTTGAGTAAAATTATCATTTCACTTGGTGCAAAATTGCATCTTGACTCCAGCCGCTTCCAGATCAAAATACATTAGGCAAAATATTTGGGGTGGATGAATTTTGGCAGGAACCGATAACCTTATCTGAAATTATTTCTACTCTCCTGATCTTTCTAAAGCACAGTAATCTCTGCAATGTGAAAGTAGAAAGAGTATCAAGTTGCTGTTTGTGGTGGAAACTCAAGAAAGCAAAACTTTATTCCCTGGAGTAAAGTTAGAGGCTTACTCAGAGCTTCATGTAACCTGGGTCAAGAATGTATACATGGGATAAGAAAAGCTGCATTCTGTGACTAAAAATTGTCAGAAATAAAGAAAGGTGCATATTCTGCATAGTTTGGATAATTCCTGTTTTGTTTTTTTTGTAGCCTGACTAAGAGGTAAGGACCTATGCAGGGCACAGGAGACCCTGCATGCTATCCACAAACACTCAAGCCTTGTCTTTATAACCTTGCAAGTGCAGAAATTCAAGTTAATGAGAGGCTATACCAATCAGTACTGTGGGTGAGATTCTATCCCCAGTTCCCATGAGAAAGTTGGAGTCGTACTCCAAAAATTTAGTTTCTTGCCATCGGACTTCATTTGTAACCTTTGTTTTGTTCATACATATGCCTTATAATTTGGTGAGTCGTCGTTAAGTTCTCCCCTGTAATTATTACAGAAGCTTTATAGACTGTTTATTTTTAAAAAAGTTCTCCAAAGCAGTTGCACAAAACGTTCTAGCTTTATCTACTAGATTGTAGTAAAGGGGCCGTAAAGGAGGCAGTGGTGAAGTTTTGCATTACTAGTTCAGGGCATAAGAATTAATAGCCGTGGTGACAGCAAATTGTTAAGGGAAGCATGTTGGTGTTCAAGCACTGTGATGCCCTTTCTCAGGCAGGCTAGAGACAAAAAAATCACACTATGGCACAGGGGAGGGGCATGTTTTAATTTATTTATCTTGAGCATCTCTGCCCTTCTCTTCATTTTAATGTAACAACCCGATTGCACTAGCTACCAATTAGTTTCCGGGCCAATTCAAAGTGGTGGTTTTGACCTATAAAGCCTTAAACGGCTCAGGACCGCAATACCATAAGGACCACCTCTTTCCATATGAATCTACCCAGACCCTGAGATCATCTTCTGAGACCCTTTCTGAGCCTCCTTCTTGAGAGGTCTGGAGGGTGGCAACATGAGAACGGGGCCTTCTCTGCAGTGGCTCTCCATCTTTGGAATGCTCTCCCGAGGGAAGTTCAACTGCGGCCTTCATTATAAACCTTTAGGCGCCAGGCAAAAACATTCCTTTTTAACCAGGCCTTTGGTCGATCTGATTGACATCCAATGCCCTTTTAAAATGTGTTGCGGGTGGGGTTATTGGGTTTTTGTTTTTATTATGTATTTTGTGATCTTATCCTGTGAACTGCCCTGAAACCTGTGGCATAGGGTGGTATACAAATTTAATTAATAACAACAATGATAGTATTTTTAGATGGTTGTAACTTGCCCTGGGACCTGCTAGTGAAGGAGGGTAATAAAATAATAAACATGCAAGGGGTGATCTCTAATTTTCCACTGTTCGGCAATATAGGATGACACTGAAAAGAAGGAGAGGGTTGCTGTGCATAGCTGTCAACTTTTTCCTTTTCTTGTGAGGAATCCTATTCGGAATAAGGGAATTTCCCTTTAAAAAAGGGAAAAGTTGACAGCTATGCAGCTGTGGAGCTACAATGAATCACTTTGTGAATTGTTGAAGACACAGGGCCCTTTCCATACCATTTTGGTGTGTGGCAGTTGCACCAGAGAGGTAGATTAGATAGCTAATGCTCAGTAGGTGCAGGAACAACAGAAGCTTGAATATAAAGGGGGAAATTTCATTTTACATACTTGTAAAAAGCTGAACATGGATTAAAAGCCATATAAGGAAACTTAGTAGTGTCAGTTGAGTGTAGTGTCAGTTCAGTGCTGGTGGTTGCTAGGTTGTGGAGGTCCTTGTGACACGCCCTTCATTGTGACACCTCCCTCTGCTGGCTCCTTGGTCACTAGGGCTCTAGAGGCATAGCAATCTCCTTTGGTTTGATCATTCAGCGAGTGAGAGAGAAAGTGGATGGAGATGTAAGTAGACTTTCTCATCAGCATCTGCATTCTGTGCTGGTAACTCTCCATGAGAGTCTTAGGGAACATTTAAAAGATTAAGATTGGGAATAATAATGTAAATGCTTCAGCCAGCCCTTCTGGGCATCTTTATGACTCCACCCACTGTTTTGTAACAGGGAAGGGAAGTGACTATGGATTCTGTTTACACTTTAGGAAAAGTAATAAGATGTCATGCCTTGGAAAAGGGCGTTCTTTTTTGGCTAGTGACACAAGAGTCACTTGATAACTCGCCATGGGAGCATTAAGCATGTCCTCTGGAGAGGGTGATATCTTGCACTGTCTTCCTCCCCTTCCTGACTCCCAGGGCCCATCTTTCAAAGGACAGCCAAGGTACAAAACCCTTCAGCATGCTGATGTTTCTTCTCTAGTAATATTAGTCTGTGGTATTTGATGTTTCCCTTTTAAACATCCCTTCTCCACACTAAGCAAACCCACCTCTTTCAATGAGATGATGAGCATTGTCTTATAATATTCAGAGGGTGCTATTCTGGCTACAGTATTCAAGCACTCTCTTCACAGGATACCCATAATGATATGCCTTGGAAAGTGAATTCATCTTGCGCTCTGAGTTGTGAATGCCCAAACCAGTTTAGGGATGTAGATCAGGAGAGTACTGTGAGTCCCATTTCTCACATTTTAACAGGCCTTCTCTGCAGTGGCTTCCCATCTGTGGAATGCTCTCCCCAGGAAAGTTCGCTTGGCGCCTTAATTGGACACCTTTAGGCGTCAGGCAAAAACGTTCCTTTTTAACCAGGCCTTTGGGTGACCAGATTGACATCCTATACCCTTTTAAAATGTGGCTCTTTTGTGGGGGAGTTATTGGGTTGTTGTTTTTATTTTGATTACGGTATATATTTTGTGGTTTTATATTCTGATTTTGTTCTGTGAGCTGCCCTGAAACCTCCAGGTATAGGGCAGTATAAAAATTCAATAAATAACAACAACAACACCAGTGTAAGTTATAGTATAATATACTGTTGGAGTTTGGTATGTGTAGCAGCAGAGTAAAGATATAGTTTGGTGAGACTGCTGGTTGTAGGAATATTTTAAAAAAAAAACTCCTGACAAACAAAGGCATTCTGAATTCATGTTTACAGTATCCTTTAAGGATTCCTCTCCAGGCAGGATTGGGAATGACTGAGGTCTGAAATCCTGTAAGGCCGCATCCAGTCATTGCAGACAGTATTGATCTAGGTGAGCCAATGGTCTGGCTCAGTGCTATTTTTCTAGAAAAAGAGGTGCCAAAATTCTCCATGAACACCTCCCTTGTTCTCTTACACACAGGATGCAGGTGACACTGTGGTCTAAACCACTGAGCCTCTTGGGCTTGCTGATCAGAAGGTTAGTGGTTCGAATCCCCTCAACAGAGTGATCTCCCATTGCTCTGTCCCAGCTTCTGCCAACCTAGCAGTAGATAAATAGGTACATCTGCGGCGGGAAGGTAAACAGCGTTTCCGTGCGCTCTGGTTTCTGTCATGGTGTTCCTTTGTGCCAGAAGCGGTTTAGTCCTGCTGGCCACATAACCCGGAAAGCTGTCTGTGGACAAACGCCAGCTCCCTCGGCTTGAAAGCGAGATGAGCTCTGCAAACCCATAGTCGCTTTTGACTGGACTTAATTGTCCAGGGCTCCTTTATCTGTTCTCTTATAATGGCAGAGGGGCTGAGAGGTGCCAGAACTGAGTTTCAGCCCTGGGTATAATGTACTTTCCTATCTTCCCTTGGCTGCCAAGACAAATAGCTGTAAGCTTTAGGATTGGATGACTGTCTCTGGCACAGACAGAAAGCCCACGAATGTGGGAAATGAAATCACCTATGATTCATTGTGGGATAAACTAACTTCCTTAAGTGAGCGTGTGGCCTGTAGTATAGGTTTGTTCCGACTCACCATCCCCTCACCTGAGGGCTCCCCCCCTTCCCAATGAAATGCTAATACGTGCAAGGTTGCCTAATAGATTGCTATACTTGCTGGCTAGGTACCTGTCAAAACATTGCTGCATTTCCTTAAGAAAGGTTGGCACAAAGCTAATCGCTGCTAATGTGCGGTGTGCTGAACTGCGTCCAGGGCTTTGCTGCATTACAGGAATGTGTGGCTTATGCAGAGTGCTCTTGTGAGAAAACAGTGCTTGCTGCTGCTGCTGGAATCCCTTGGGCCAAATCCTGAAAACTTAATAGTTGGCGGGGGAGGTTTTTGTTGTGTGTGCGTGTTCATTAGCCGTCCGTGCAAAGCAGTACCTGTGATGTTGCAAGAAACGGTGCAGTTAGCATTAACTGCAAAGGGAAAAAAGCCTTTGAGGTTGCTGCTTTGCTGTTCTTGTATCCTTTGTCGTTTTTTGTTCTTCGATTATTGCATTTGTGGTTTAATTGTTTTAGACTGCAGTCTTAATCCTCTGCCCACTTTGCTTGCAGTAAGTCCTCTTGAACTCAGTGGAGTGCATTTCTGAATTAACATCCATAGGAGATCGCAAAGATATTTTTCTGAGCTGCCTTGGGAAAATTAGTCTTATTCTATGTCCTCCCTGCGGGGCTCTTGGGTGGGTGCCACCACCCATTCTTGCTCATCCTGACAGTTCAGATGCTTGAAATTTCTCTACAGGGAGCTGCCTATGTACCGTAATATCTTAGTTGTCTACACAGTTGCATAGGGTTGCCATATGTCCAGGAAATCCAGGACATGTCCTCTTTTGAGGTGCCTACATGTGCATCTGGGGGGATTTTTACAATTTTAAGCAAATTGGGCTTTTGGAGGGTTAAAAAAAATTGTGTGCGTATGTGAGTAGCTTGGGTTCAGGTGCGGGTGCGGACAACCTGGGGTCTGGCCGTTTCTTGGGCTCTGGTGTGGACGGCTTGGCTGGGGGGCAAGTGGATGATTGTTTTTAAAAAAGCTCAGTATTTTTCTTCTTGAAAATATTTTTAAAATTAATTTTCAATTACAAAAGTCCAATATATGGCACATTGTATCAATACCAAATTACCATTCTAATTCAAATACCAATCAGTTAAAAAGCCAATTACACATTTTAGATGTGCTAGATTTCAAGGTACGATAATTTCGTTTAATTCTGCTTCCAGAGCCTTATTTAATCCAATTACATTTCAGTTTTCATCGTAATCCAACAGCTACAGTATTTTTAACTTCCGTTCGTATTAACACATTTAATAATTTGTATTCCCGCAACTTTTTTTTGTCCATGTTTTTACCTCTGGAAATATGGCAACCCTACAGTTGCATAAATGCTATCCCTTCCCCCATAACAAAAAACCCCACACTGATTTAGGGCTGTTTACACATTATTATTTACTTCGGCACCATCACAAGCCCGCTGTTGGTGTTTGAAGCCTTGTACATAGAACGCTTGCTGCAATATGTATCTATCCTATAGTTTCTTGAGAAATGCTGCTATTGGATGCATTTTCCACCCTGTTTGAAAATGTAAGCCTCGTTCACTTCACAGTTAAGATGAGGTGTGTACAGTAGAGACAGCCATTGCACATGTGCACAGACTGCATCTTCATTAAGAGGAGTTAGGAGGAGTTTCCAGGGAAACCAAGCAGGTAATGCACATTGCATGAGGACATCTCTGCCACCCCTCTGTTTTCCAGTGGTTTTCCTGTAATGAAAAAACAACCTCTCTGCATTTTTAGCTGCAAATGCGTACGTGGTCTTCATTTTGCCAAGGCTTTGTTGAGGACAGAGAGAGAAGGCAGGGCCTAGCGTATCATACCTCTCATGTAGGTTTTTCTGCTGATGCAGAAACTGCTGATAGAATTGCATTTTCTGCTGATCTTCAGAGGTGGTCATTTTGGAACCTACCCTCATTTCAGATCCTGCCAAAATGGCCATTAGTACTTTTTCTCCTTTCATCATTTCAGAAACGCGGCCAAGCTTTTGCCTGCCACTAGAAAAGATCCTTGCGGTTATTTACTTGAATTTTCAAACTCTTTAAGTCATGTTATTATAATGTTTGTCTACAGTGGATCATCAAAGAAAATGCTGTCTGGGTTGCAGCTTAAAAAAACACACACACAACATCAAACAGTTCTTAATTCTTTTCTGGGAGCAGCTACAAGTATGGTGATTTCATATAAACAATGAAAATTACACTAAATCAATTTGCAACCTTTCCCCCTGTTCAACATTCAGAGGGAGGATCTGAAAGTCTTTGCATGAAGGCTGTTCCAAGCAGTAAGACGTTCTAGGGCTGCAGTTCTTACCTGGGTTTGTCTTCCTTTGGAAGGAGGTCATTGGAGGCTTATGGTGTCTTGGAATATTTGAGTTTATTTACAAATATTACAAGAAATGCAGCTTAAGCACTCCAACCAAGAGGCAGATCCAGTACCTCGGCCCAGTATATCAGTGTTCAGCCCGACCACTGAGGTCCAGCGCCGAGGGCCTTCTGGCGGTTCCCTCACTGCGAGAAGTGAGGTTACAGGGAACCAGGCAGAGGGCCTTCTCGGTAGTGGCGCCCGCCCTGTGGAAGAACCTCCCATCAGATGTCAAGGAAATAAACAACTATCTTGACTTTTAGAAGACATCTGAAGGCAGCTCTGTTTGGGGAAGTTTTTAATGTTTGATGTTTTGTCGTGTATTAAATTCTCTTGGGAGCCACCCAGAGTGGCTGGGGAAACCCAGTCAGATGGGCAGGGTATAAATAAATTATTGTTATTATTATTATTATTAGCGCTCTGGTGACATCCAACTAAGTCATACTCAGGGAATGACCCACTGAAATAAGCAGACTTTGATACCACTCTCTGTATCTTTTGAGTCTTGGACTCAAATCACAGTTTCTGTTGTTTCTTTTCACACAAAGGCATGGATAGCATCATCCTCTGCATGTGTGTGTGTTTGTAGAACCAAAGGAAGGCATGTATCAAGATTCCCATCAGCCACAGCCATTACGGCAATAGTTAGAATTGTGGAATTGCTGAGTTACAAGGGACCACCAGGATCATCTAGTCCAGCGGTTCTCAACCTGTGGGTCTCCAGATGTTGTTGGACTACAACTGCCATCATCCCTGAGCTCTGGCCTTGCTAGCTAGGGGTGATGGGAGTCGTAGTGCAACAACATCTGGGGACCCACAGGTTGAGAAAGGCTGATCTAGTCGAACCTCCTGCAATGTAGGAATCTTTTGCCCAATCTGTTTACCTTCCTTGCCTCCCGATTCAATCATTCCTACCCATCTCAGCAAAGTAAAGAGAAGGTGTATGGGCAGACAGATTCACGGGGGAGTGGGACATGATTATAGATTTCACAATGACTTGCCTGTTTTTGGACAGGGACTATGAATATAGAAAGGGAATGTTCTCCTTCTAATGAGGCCTCTTTGAATATACATTTTAAATAGCCATACATATCGACACCATCACAATTTCATTTCATCTTTTCAGAAGGAGCCTAGGAGGTGAGAGGGAGGAATCTAAGAATAAAACATGCTTGCTTTATTTTAAAGTTTCCGTTTGTATGCACACGCATGCTTTTGGTTTGCACGGAAGATAAAAAGTCATTACAGTTATTGCCAGTGAATCTCTCTTTATGTCTAGTAATTGCCTTCCCTCCCTGGCAGGCAAGGGAAAGCTCACTCAGAGCTTGGCACACAATAATTGCCCATTAATTGTGAAACTAAGGCCCATCCTCTTTTCAGTTTCGACACCCAGTGCTCTTCAGCCCTCTATGGGGTTTAAACAGTAGAAGCAAGGGTGAGTATAAATGAATGAAAAGAAATTGGTTGGAAATAAGTGCATCCAAGAAGACTCAGCTCCTTTGGAAATCTTGGGCAGTGTTAGAAACTCAGATATATAAGCTAGGTGCCAAATGGCTTCTTAAACCAAGGTTGCAGTTGCCAAAATGGAATGTCTAGTTGCCATTTTGGGGCAAGACAGCTCTAAAGTCTTATTTTTCAAAGGATGGACTGACTGTGATTGATCCTCAGTGAAACATCTGGCTAGTTCAGAGGGCAACCTCAAGCTGGGTTAGGAGCTTTGAAAACCGAAAGGCTGCGCAGAAAAAGCACTTTGGTTCCTGAAATATACTCGGAGTCAAGTGTGAATTTCATGCTCTTTATTCAGCTCATAGTAGCAATGAATGAAACTTTCCCCAAAACGTCTAGATGTATACAGTGGTACCTCAGATTACATACGCTTGAGGTTACAGACTCCGCTAACCCAGAAATAGTACCTCGGGTTAAGAACTTTGCTTCGGGATGAGAACAGAAATTGTGCTCTGGCAGCGCGGCGGCAGCGGGAGGCCCCATTAGCTAAAGTGATGCTTCAGGTTAAGAACAGTTTCAGGTTAACAATGGACCTCCGGAACGAATTAAGTACTTAACCCGAGGTACTACTGTATACATTATTTACACAATGGGCCCTGCGTGATTGGCTAATTCCGGGCTGCTCCTGTAGGCCAATCAGGTTGTGGATTCACTTCCTCCGGAAGCCTGATTGGCTGCTCCTGCAGGCCAATCAGGTCACTGATTCACTTCCACCTGGAGTTGGATTGGGTGGCTCCCGCGGGCCAATCAGACTGCTGCATTCTGGATCCTATTGTTCTAGAATTCAGCTCAGCACATAACAGTTCCTGAAATTCATTCCGATTGTGCAGATAGGGTATAACTGATAGAATTCTACAGGATGGGTTATTAGTGTGTGAAAACAGTCCAGGTCCAATGATCCCCACATGCTGGAGATGCAGCTGTCATCCTGGCACCCAAACATCTTCAGTTGGTCGCAAGTAGTTGGAGACTTCGGGTAAAGATGCATAAAGTTTTGCTGCAAAATTGGGTTAAATAGAGATGATAGAGGTCAAAAATAGGTGCCTGGGTATGACAAGGCTATGTAAAAACGGAATGCAATTTCTGGTGTTTCAAAAAAGCTTTAGACACAGACTGTCCAATGCTTCACTTTTTATTTGAAGGGAAATATATCTGGAAGAAAACATTAGGACTCACATGATGCTGAAAATGTGGTTAGATTTGGGGTTGCAACAGATAATGTTGTCATGTTAAGTGTGCAAATGCAACGTATTTTTAATATTTTTTATATCTACTTTTAGGTTAGGTATTTGGTGTGTAAAGAAGAGGAATACAGCTATCACTCAGTTTATTTTTAAAAAGTTACTAGCAGGTTGCGGGAGGCGGATCTGGATTACTACCCAGGTAGGAAGTAAGGGGCTTTAACCCTTTGTCTCCCACTGTATTCATGAGCCGGATTGGGGGCCCTGTACCTTTTTGCTTAGGAAAAAGTGCTCCCATTCCTACTAGTTGAAGCTTTCCTTTGGATTCAAACAAGTGTTTGAATCTGGATCATGGTTAAAGCCCCCTGCCTCTCCATATCAAGGGCCCTTTCACCTGCTATTTACTTTGTAAATGTTATTTTTTAAAATGGTAATTACGTGAATTGCATGCATTTCATCTCGTTTGGCCTTTAAACCAAGGGAATATGTGGAACCCTCTTGCATTAACTTGATGGATTTGTGTCACTGTTTCAATGACCTGTATGAAACCAGGATCCAGGGTGCTTTAAAGGTCAGCACCAACACTTTGAATTGTGCTCGGAAACATACTGGGAGCCAGTTTAGGCCTTTCAATATGGTCTCAGCAGCCGCTCCCAGTATATTAACGTAGTTCTCGTTGTTTCCTGCAAACCTTGGGAGACTGTCTCTCTGCTCCCCTCTGCACTGTTCTCACACAGCTGCATTTACAGACAGTAGCTGTGCCAATAAGTTGCATGATGCTTATATCCTGATAGGCATCTTGGCCATGCATTTCCTGGTCTGCTCAGGCTGGCAGTGCAGATGTGTGTTGGTTACTAGGCACGCAAACAGATCTGATAGGAGGCTGAGGATTAGTGTAGCTGCTGCCGATGTCACAAAGAAACTGATTGTGAATCAAAAGGGGAGGCTGTGTTACTGTCCAAGGCAGTTCTGATGGGGAATGTGTTTTGGGAGTCTCCCTTGGGTGCAAGGTTACCCAAACACAGTCTGTTCCCCCCCTCTGCTGACTTCCCATTCTCAGACACCTTCAGTATCACTCCTGCCAATGCTGGCAAGCGCAGACAGAGAAACTGGCAGCCACGTAGAACTTCAAAAGAGACACTGGTGCACTTTCTCAGTCACCAGTAAGCAAGTTCTAGACATCAGCACCGAGCCTTCTGGGTTGACCTCAGAATGAAACTACATTTTAAGGCTAAACATGACGCTCCTCGCCCTGTGTTGGCCTTGTAGTGCTAATGTGGACATGCATTTGCAGAGGGAAATCTGTGATTACAGGTTGGGGCACATAACCCTTCTCACCACATCTATCTTGGGGTTTTTTGTTTGTCTTTGTAAATTCCTCACCCACTTCCCAGTATGTTTTTTGTGTTGGCTTTCTTCCTGTTGGGCTTCAAGACCGCAAGTCCCAGCTGTAGGGAAAAGCATTTTTTCAGGGATACCTTCATGTTCACGAGAGATATTAAGCCCCCATCTCCATCTCACCTGTTCACATGTGTTTGTAAAAGGTGTTAGACTGCATTGTGCATAGCTCGGATCTCTGGAAGGGAAGCCGGGAATTAGGTCGGCATTGATTATAGCAAGTCGTAACGAAGCGATGCACTTTATTGCATTCAGACAAAGGTCCTCAGTATATTCATACTGCAAATGAACACTTACCAGATTAAAATGTGCAATTGATAATGTTAATAAAAGCTGTCATGTCAGTGGCAGAGGCTGCTCCGTTAGGGTGAATGGGCACTGTCCCAGCGGCCTCAGTTTGACTCCCACAAGCCCCTCACCTGCCTGCCTTCTTAAAAAGGTAAAGGGACCATGACCATTAGGTCCAGTCGCAGATGACTCTGGGGTTGCGGCACTCATCTCGCTTTATTGGCCGAGGGAGCTGGCATACAGCATACGGCATACAGGTCATGTGGCCAGCATGACTAAGCCGCTTCTGGTGAACCAGAGCAGCACACAGAAATGCTGTTTGCCTTCCCACCAGAGCGGTACCTATTTATCTACTTGCACTTTGACGTGCTTTCGAACTGCTAGGAGGGCAGGAGCAGGGACCAAGCAATGGGAGCTCACCCTGTCGCAGGGATTTGAACTGCCGACCTTATGATCAGCAAGCCCTAGGCTCTGTGGTTTAACCTACAGCGCCACCCGCATCCCTTTTAGCCTGCCTTCTTACTTGCAACCAACCCAGAAAGTAGCACCCTTTAGTCTTAGTGTTACCCTGATGGAACTCAGCAGGGAAGAGTGGGAGCACAGAACTAGATTTAGTTGGTTCTATCTGCCATTGTTTTTGGCTCCACCTGCTTGTGGTCACCCTGCCTTCCGCTCCACCAATCCCAACGGGCCTCAGCCACCACCATTTCAAGGTAAAACGCTAAAAGGATGATTAAGATCAGTCAAAGGTGACTATGGAGTTGCAGCGCTCGTCTCGCTTTCAGGCCGAGGGAGCCAGCGTTTGTCAGCAGACAGCTTTCCGGATCATGTGGCCAGCATGACTAAACCGCTTCTGGCGCAACGGAACACCGTGACAGAAGCCAGAGTGCACGGAAACGCTATTTACCTTCCCGCCGCAGCAGTACCTATTTATCTACTTGCACTGGTGTGCTTTTGAACTTCTAGCTTGGCAGGAGCTGGTACAGAGTAACGGGAGCTCACCCCATTGCCCAGATTTGAACCACCAACTGTCCCATCGGCAAGCCCAAGAGGCTCAGTGGTTTAGACCACATCTCCACCTGCTCCCATATATAGTGATCAAATCCTTATTGTGAGTCCCTGCTAGCATCTTCCATACACCTATGTACCCTTAGCCTAGGTACTTTGACCTGCATACTTAGAGCACATGAAATGGATCCTGCCTCTGGAAAACACACCAGAGTCTAACCTTCATGTATGTTTTTCCACTGCAAGAAATCATTAGCATATAAGAAATAAAGTACATGGATCTGAAGAAAAGGGTATGGGTGTCTAAGAACATGGTTTTTAATTACAGGAGGACCATAGGAGTCAAGTCCTAGGGGCCAAGGTCCTTTGCCCTCCTCCTATAAAATATTTGAGGGGGCTAGGCCCCCCAAAAAAGTTGATGGGCATTGCCATTCAAATGGTATGTGTGTGCCGCATCTTGTGATCAGATTATGCAGGGCAAGGCTTACCTGGGCACCCCCATTATTTTATTCAAGTTGGCACCCCTGAGTAGGACAGTCTAGGATGTCTCATCAATTGGTTCAGTACTTGTGTGTATGAGGTTAAGCACTTTCAAGTCCCATTGATTTCTGTGGGAGACATTTAAGCACGTTCCCCCGCTGAGATGAATGGCATTTAGATTGCTTTTGGGCTGTGCATGGTAAATTGCAAATTCAAACTCAGGGAAAAAACTCTGGATTTATTTATTTTTGTCTAAATGCAATGGGCATGCCACAGTCCATTGTAAGAGTGTACCGCTGCTGTGCAATGTGTAGGGTCCAACTTACCCCTTCTGCACATGCAAACAAGACTGAATAGGCAGGCAATGCAAGAGGCCATTAGGGTGAGTTGGAGGGACATTCATGCCTCTTAGATCCTTATCCAGTTTTCCCCTTCCACTTGGTGCAGGTCACTTGTGCCACGGAGCCCAAGTGACTTGTATAAAGCAGAGCTGCCTGATGAACTCATGAGGCTGAGCTTTCATCTCCCCCAGCTGCTCATACATGATAGGGTGGAGGGCAGGGGAACCCCATGCATATTCTCTGCACATGGGCACTGTATGGACTGGATTATGCTGAATAGTAAGAGTAATATTGAATTTTATCATTGTAATGTTGTTGTGATGATTATATACACCAGTGTGCTTGACAAGTGTTGAGGAGAGCTGCACTGAGGAGGAATGGTAGGAGCCTCCCCCTCCCCCTGATCAGGATCCTGAATCTTCCCAGGAGCAGGAGGACGGTATAGATTTGGAACAGTGGTTTGCAGAGGGGCATAGTTCAGAAGGCAGAAGCTGGGAAATACTGGATGGGGAACAGCTAGGAGAAGAAACACTGGGAGAGAGAGGGTTAACAGATTCACCATCTCTGGACAGTATTCACCCCCCCCCCCTTCTCCAAAGTCATGGATAGCTCAGAAAGTGGCAGAACAGAAAGCGCAGAGGGTACAAGCTCAGATTACAAGACGTAGAAGTGACGTAGATTAATAGGGGCAGAAGGGGGTGTGATCCTTAATTGGGAGCACCGCCATTTTTAGGAGATGAGTTCTTTGTTCTCTTACTGTGATTATTAAAGTTTCTAACTGGTAAAAAGACCCATTTTCCTTTGTTCTGCTTATCTATTGCCACAGGGGGTGGGTGGGGGAGAGCCGATTCCCTGAAGCCTGAGAACAAGACAGAGAAATGCAACTCAATTTCACCCTTGTTTGTTTTTTGTTTTGTTTTGTTTTTATATAAAAAAATCAACATAGAACAAAAATAAATGTTGCACTTATATTCCGTGGCTGAAATTTCCCATGGACGTAGTTTGGGGGAGGGCAGGGCAGGGGCAGGGGGACAGAAGAGCAACATCACGGGGACATGCTAGGGCTGGGCGATATATCGTCCAAAACCGTTTAGAAGTCCATATTGTGATGTCGTTTTCATAATTTTGAACATTGCAATATATTGTGAATTATTTTGTGTGTGTGTGTGTGTGTGTGTGTGCGCGCGCGCGCATGTGTGTCCGCTATGCTATGCTATGCAAAAATCATAATGTGGGGAAAACTGTGGAGCCAGCCGACGCCTCGTGATGTTCAACTGGTGATATATCACGATGTTGAAAACCAGATATCACCCAGCCTTAGTGACATCATCATAGGTTATGTAACCTTGCCCAGTGCCTAAAGGTTTTGAAAGTTCTGTTACAGCAGGATAGAGGAATCTCCACTTGGATTCCAGCTCCTTTGGGGTAGGGAGTAAACAACTTCTGAATGTGGAGTGTGTGTGTGTGTGTGTTCTTTATACAGAGAGGTGTGCTCTTGTTCCCCTGTCTTCCGACGCTGTTGGTGCTAACTTAATTCTCAGTACGAATAGATTAAAAGCCCCATCGCCATGCCAGTTTCCATGATTTCCAGGCCCATCGTGGAAACGGCTATGTCTTGAGTTGCTTTTTGAAGAACCCCAGGGCTCGGCATTAAAAGAAAATATGTTTGTCTCCTTCATATAGAGTGTGCATCTTTAGTCTCTTCGAAGACCCACCTGTGACGGGACCTGTAATCTGCTGGTTACCCTCTGGCACTAAGCACAGCCAAATGAAATCCATGCACAGTGAAGAGAGACTTCAGCACCCAACTAATCAGAATGGTGAAAGGGAGCTCTCTTACACAGCACTAGGGGAGATAATCAGAAGCAGTAAGTGGCAAACACGAGGCCGTACGCTGACAGGATTTTGCTACAGCTTATTGTGCATTTGCTGCTACAGCTTCGCACCAGTCCCCCATCCCACTAAGAATAAGCCATACATGCCATTGATAGCCTCATTTTATACTTTCGGCCAGCAGGAGAGTTTCTGTAGAATCACCTAACCCCCATATGACCTAATAATGTCCATTTGTTTGTGTGTCCCTTCCCTCTCCCCTACATGAATTAACAAAGCATCGGTCCTGGGGGGCTGCCTAACTCTGCCAAATGCTTCCTCTCATGATGATTGCCGCCATTTCCTCCCGCTGCCGAACGATGACGATAATAACCATGTATTGTGACTTATACTTGATACTGCTTGCTCTTCCTTTGCTTGTTCTTGTTAAGAAATGTCCATTTTAAAGAAGAAGAAGGAGAAGAAGAAGAAGAAAAACTTCCAATAGGCCAACTGGGCAAATATCTCGGTAAACTACTTCACGATAAGGCGGGCTACCTCAACACCAATAAAATTTTGTCATGACCACCAGTGTCCTTTTGTTAGTGTGTGTGTGTGTGTGCTTGTATATGCAGCAGCAATAGTTAAAACCAAACCCGCTTAAAAAAAACACACACACAACCCTATCTAATAACATCTCTCAGTTCTCAGCCCTTGGTTCCTCAGTAGACCATTCACTTCAAGTGAAGTGCCAAGAGTTCAATCCTTGGCATCTCCAGCTAGGGTGGCCTAAAATCCTGGAGGCCTTCTGCCCATCAGTGTTGACAATAACTCAACAAGATGGAGCAATGGTTTGACTCAGTATGAAACTGGTATGATGTTTCCCCAGCCACTGACAGCTCATTCCACCTCACTCCTGCCTGCCTGCCTGGGCTGGGCTGGTGGCGGTTGTGATGTACTGCCAGCTCAAATTGCCTCGATTAGCTGGGAGGCGGGCAATTTAAGGAAGGCTGCTTCTCGGCTGATCAAGCCAAAGGTGAGGGGACAGCTTTCTGAAAGTGCCTGCACCTCAGCAAAACAGTTTAACAAAGCTCCTGTACAGCTCCTGCTCATGGGAGCCTGAGTGGTAGGGGGCTTGTTCATCTCTGCGAACTGGGCAAGCTCCCATACCACTCTGGCTCCCGCGAGCAAGAGCGATATGTGGAGGGATGGGCAATTTCAGACCTTGAGATATATCAGCACGTCACAATATTTCGTGGTTCTGTGATCTGCCTTCTAATGTCATTGAGGCGTCCAAACTCTCCTAAATGGCATCCACGTTGCAGTGGGGTGAGGAGGAACTATTGAATATGTGTGTGTAAACAAGACCAGAAGCCTACTTCCACCTCAGCTGTCCCAGATTTGGCTTCTTATTCCAGCTCGGTAATGCAATTCCTCACGTCGAGTCCTTGGCCATATTCCTCCCTTCTGGGAACTGAAGCAAGAAAGGGAGAGCTGTAAACTGAAAGCTATATACTTCAAAGCCACCCCGTTTTTGTGCATTTAAGCAATGAATGTGTAGGTGGCCTAAAAGCAATTTCTGCACCAAAAAAAAAAAAAAAAAGGATGTCGCAGGAAGCCCATTGACGCTAGCATTTGAACACCCTGTAAGAAATTGATGAAGACACATTTGGTGAACAGCCCTATGTTGTGTAACATGGTGTGTCCAGTTTCTGTCAATTTTAGAAGGGAATTCAGAACATGAAAAGGGGAACAAGGGCACAGGAGATCCATATCTTCAGGGTTGGCAGTTTAATAAGCATTGGCCTTGGCTGAGTCAGTTATATTATGTGTATAGCTGTGATAAATGTGAGTGATGGGTCTTTCAGGAAGTCTGACGCTTGATACCTGGCCATTCTTGTCTCATTTTTACCACTGGGTTGGTGAATTAAAGGCAGGAGACACTCAATATGTCCGGGGCAGCCACAGCTCCCACTATCCCTGACTGTTAGCCATGCTGGTTGAAGCTGATGGGAACTGGGAGCCCCCCAACTTCTGGAAAGAACTACATTGGCTGCCCCTGCAGAATGTCAATGCAGTATATTTTACCTGTCAACATGAGACTAAATTCTCTGGGATGTCTCAGGTAATAAAGTTCGATGTGCCTGCCCTTTATGTAGTCATTACAAAATCCCTGTTTGCCCATACTAATAGCATTCAACGCGTCTAATTTTATTGATTTCCACAGTGCAGTCCCATTGAACCCAACCCTCCTTCCCCGTGATCTCTTTTCATGCCATAGAAACTGCCAAGTATTGTATTTTATTGATTATTATTATTAATATCCCACCTTTTCTCCAAAGGATCTCGAGGTGGCATGTATTCTTTTTCTCCTGCCTGTTTTATCTTCACAACAAGGCTGGTCTAAGAGACTGCGACTGGTCTGAGGTCACCCAGTGAGCTTCATGGCTGTTTGGGCATTTGAATTTTGGAAAGAATTCAGTGTTGCATAGATAACCATCATTCCATCTGCTTGTTGGAATGATCTCCCACTCTCATGTACGCCGTTCTGGGGGTTCTCCCAATCTCCCACCAGAGCTGATTGTGGGGGCGCCAGAGGTTGGAGAATGGGAAGCATAATAATAATAATAATAATAATAATAATAATAATAATAATAATAAAATTCTACCCCACCCATCTGCCTAGGTTTCCCTGGCCACTCTGGGCGGCTTTCAACAGAACATTAAAAACAGAATAAAACTTCAAACATTAAAAACTTCCCTAAACAGGGCTTCCTTCAGATGTCGCCTAAAAGTCAGATAGTTGTTTATTTCCTTGACATCTCATTATTATTATTTATACCCCGCTCATCTGGCTGGGCTTCCCCAGCCACTCTGGACGGCTCCTCACAAAATGTTAAAAACACGATAAAACATCAAACATTAAAAACTTTCCTAAACAGGGCTGCCCTCAAATGTCTTCTAAAAGTCAGATAGTTGTTTATTTCCTTGACACCTGAAGGGAGGGCCTTCCACAGGGCGGGCGCCACTACCGAGAAGACCCTCTGCCTGTTTTCCTGTAACCTCACTTCTCGCAGTGAGGGAACCGCCAGAAGGCCCTTGGAGCTGGACCTCAGTTTCCGAGCTGAACGATGGGGGTGGAGACACTCCCATTGCACTAGCAAGACTTGTGATGGCTCCAACTAGCACAGCTATTCAGTTGAATCTGGCCCCTGGTGTCACAGGTCCTTTTTTAAAATTATTTTTTAATAAAGCCGGAAAAACAAAGGGAAAATATACAGAAGTTAACATCAAATACCAAGCATTTTTTTAAACATAGGGAAAGGGAAAGAAGTATTTTGATTCTCTGTCAGCCTTCTAAACGTATGCAAAACTCTTACTCCTTAATAGCCAACTCTTCTGCTTTCCATTAACAAACCTTTTTTTCAGTCTTCAAACCTGGATCCTAATCCAAATGGGCAACATTTCCCCCTCCAATTTCTGTCAGCTACCAGGGGCGTCTTACCCATAGAGCCAAGTAGCACGGGGCGCCAGGGTGCCAAGTTCTGGAGGGTGCCAGGGAAGAGGTGGAGGCTGGATGCGGTGCCTCCTGGCATCAGCTCGCTGCCCTCACCTGCCTCCGCCATGGCGCACCGAAGCAGCACCGTGCCTGGAGCCTCCGTCTGCTGTGGCCACCGTGGCACGAAGCGGCTGGCTGAGCCGGGAGACGCCAGGCCCCTTCCCCGCCAGAGGAGCCACCCTCCAGCCACTGCCCGCCACCTCCAGCCCCTCCGGCAGTGCCATCCTCCCTAAAAAACTCTGGGAAACCAAAAGACCAGAAGCATTTCTGCTAGGTCTAGTGGGAAGAGAGATTAAAATAAAAGATCAGAATTTGTTTATGTATGCCACAGCCGCCGCAAGAACTCTATTGGCCCAAAAATGGAAAACACAAGACTTGCCAACCATCCAGGAGTGGCAGGTGAAGAGGACAGATTTTGCGGAACTTGCCAAATTGACAGGGAGGATTCTGGACCAAGAGGACCAGAGATACAAGAACAACTGGAGTAAATTTATTGAATATTTAAAGGAGAACTATAAAAGTTTAAAGACACTAGCAGGACTGGAATAATACCTTCAGTGTAAAATCATAGAGATATGAGAATAATATACGCGATAAGAATGTGATGTATATACCAGCTGCGGGGAGGGAGGGAAGTCAAGACTTGGCAGAGTCAAAGGGATTATATTGTGATAATAAGGACTGTTGGAAAAAGATAATATGAAGAAAATAATAAAAATTTATCTGGGGGAAAAACAACTCTGGGAAATGGGGGGGGGGCAGAGGGAGGGAGCTTTGTGTCACGGTGCCGGATATGCTTAAGATAAGGTTACCAGATTTTTTCAATGAAGCCGGGGACACTTTTCAACTTCAATGGATTTTGTATGGGGACTGATTTGTAAATCCGGGGACTGTCCCCGGGAAACGGGGACGTCTGGTAACCTTAGCTTAAGACGGCCCTGTCAGCTACACTCAAAAGTGAGTAGGGTCAGCTGCTTCCCCACTCTTTCTCTGACCCCCTTTTCTCTGGGGCACTCTCCTTTCTCTCTCTTTTCTATGCCTCCTTCCCTCCCGCCCAGCAGGGACAGAGCATTCTTGCTAGAGGTCTCAAACTGAGTACTTGCAGAAGGCTTTTGGAATGAGGATGAAGACCAGCTGCAGTTCAAATAGAACTGATCAAAGTCCCCAAGCCACATATACCATATTTTTTGCTCTATAAGACTCACTTTTTCACTCCTAAAAAGTAAGGGGAAATGTGTATGCCTCTTATGGAGTGAATGCAGACTGCGCAGCTATCCCAGAAGCCTGAACAGCAATAGGGATTGCTGCTTTCACTGCGCAGCAATCCGTCTTGCTGTTCTGGCTTCTGAGATTCAGAATTTTTTTTTTCTTGTTTTCCTCCTCCAAAAACTAGGTGCGTCTTGTGGTCTGGTGCATCTTATAGAGCAAAAAATACAGTATATCCACACCAACATGTCACCAAGATTGGGGTGATTTCCCCCATGGTATTTCGCAGCAGGAGGCTCACATTCTTTCCCCTTCTTATTCTTGATAATGATTAGAGTTTTTATTTTCGCATTAGTCTTGTAGCAGCATGGGTCATAAACAGCAGGCAAGCAACTTTTCTACGTGATTGATTATGAAACATGGCCATGGGTAAGTGTTGCATGACCAGCTAATTGAAAGTTGCCTTCCATATCTGAATTTGCATGATGCTGGCTCATGATGAATAATCACAGCATCTGATATATATGCATATCCAGCTCCAGTTCCCTTCTTAAATATTTTCCTTTACTGATGCTTTACCCAAGTTATTTTGACTCCTAGGAGCTGGAAAAAAACAAGGCTGTTTTTGCAAAGGATGTGATCCCTGTTTTCTTCCAGCTTAAGAAATATCTAATGGCTGTTTTATAGCTTTACCACAAAAGTGAAGAGCTTTTGTAGACTTTTTTTGCGAAGAAAGCAAAGGGCCTACAATCAGCTATACCTTTAGGCTGGAATAACCTTCCCCCCTTTCTGATATTTGGGGTTACCAAAGCCTAGAGGTCCCAGCCA